TTAGGGAACATGAAAGTTACCTTTAAGAATGAGCTTTTTGAGACATCATGAGGCTTGTTGAGGTTGCATGGTACACTTCCTTCCCGGTTTCATTCAGTCCTTCTCTTGAGTGATTGAAAACTATGTTGTTCCTCCCTCTCCGGCGTTTCTGCACATATGAGAATGCATGAGGTTTGAACATGAAAGTTTGGGCTAAGGGTGAGGCACCAGCTAAAGATGAACTGGGCATCTAGGACAACAAAGAGTGGTAACAATAAGGTAAAGATGTCCTAGATGTATATCATGATGCTTTTTTAAAAACCATTGATGAGAAAATTAGATGTCAAGATTATGTCCAAGTAAAATGAGCTGTATATCCTGTCAAAAAATATCTCCATGAATAGAAGTCCTCTAGTGGGATTTCGTAGTGTAAGTACTCTAGCTACCGCCTAGTCTAGTACTAAACCTTGAAAGAGCTTTTTATGAATGATTGGTGTAGAAGCAAACAGGTTGGTTATCATCATCGATTTTGTCATTATTCCCTCAAGATATATTTGACCTTTGAAAACACTTTTTGAAACTCAAAAGACTTTTGAAAAGTTTTAAGAAAAACCAAAAAAATGAAAAACTTTAAAGGAAAATGCATAATGCAAAGGCTCATGCAAGAAAAGGTGATTAGAAAGAGATGAAATCCTCCCCCAGACTTAAATCACACTGTCCCCAATGTGAAATAAATCAGGTAAGGATGAGAAATAGAATATGTGAAGAATTTAAAAGATGAAGGAAAATAAAACTTACCTGGTGTTGGTGATAGATTGTGAGATGGTTGTGGAGGTGGTAGGATGTTGAATGGTGGATGGTGGATGATGTGGAGTGGTGCTTGATCAAATTTGGATTGATTTGAATCAAGGTAGAGATGGGAGTGGCCAAGGGTGGCCAAACTGGTGCTGGCCACGGGTCAAGATGTCGTGGCCGCGGTGGAATGCTTGCTGGTCCCGGCTGAACCTTCTTTGGCTGCGGTCAGCCCCTTTTCTTCTTTTTTTTTAGATGCATACTAAGGCCTGTCTAAGATAAGAAAAACAAAACTTTAATAGAAAAAGAAAGCTAAACATAAATAAATAAGTACCTAAATGGGTTGCCTCCCATCAAGTGATTTGGTTTATAGTCCTTAGCTAGACTTTGCAAAGAAAAAGACTTAGTTCAAATAAGATCTTGTCCTAAGACAAGTCTTTTTCGAAGTCCTCCTGTTTTGTCTTGCAGGTTCTTCATCACTCCAGAGTTATTAGTGGTGTAGCTTCATAGAAGATGTCCTTGTCGATATTTGCAAAAGAAACTCTCCGGTTGGACCAATCCATGATGGCTCCAGCAGTTGCTAAGAAAAGCCATCCAAGGATAACTGGATATGAGTCATCTTTGGTCTTCACTATGTATTGATCGACGGGTGCAATGCAATCTCCAATCCTTAGAGGAATTTCTGGGGCTATCCCTCTTGGTGTTGCAATTGAATCATCTGCTAAGCTAATCTTTGTCCTGGTACTTGAAATGTGCTTAATGCCAAGTCTCAAAGCAGTAGCTTTGGACATCATGTTAATGCAAGCTCCATAATCACAAAGAATATTAAGGAATCTATCACCTCTAATGTCACAAGAGATAAGAAATTAACCTTTGTCTTGAACTTTGTGCAGAGTTCGAATTGGTCTACCTTCTTGGACGTGTGTGAACAAGTCTTTCATCTCTTGGATAGATTCTTTTCTGTCACAAAAGAAGTGGTCTATCATGTAGTCTCTACATGCTTTAGCAAATGAAATTCCTTTGGGCAGAGTCTGAATTACTTGATTGAACTCTTCAAGTGCTTCTTTCCTGATCTTGTTTGTATAGTCACTGGCTTCTTGGGGATCTTTGAGATGGATTCTGTAAACAGCTTCATCAGGTGATGATCTAGGAAAAGATAGATACCTGGCTCTTCTAAAATAAGTGTAGATGTTCTCCTTAGTCTCCTTGCTGTATCTGAAGAAAACTTGAAGGCAGCCTTGCTTCCAGATGTCATCGAATCCGTGATAGAGAGGAATGGACTTCACAAATTTTTTGAATTCGATTAGTCTCTCTCTAGATATGCTCTTGGTTATTGGTTCTTAGTTTTCATCAGATGAATTGTCCCCAGGGTTTGGATCTTTAACAAACAAACCACACTCTTCCTCTTCTAAAATTGCTCTTGAAGCTCATTGTCACAAGTGTAAACCATGTTGCAAGATGCATAAGTGTTGGATTCCTCCTTTTCCTTTGATGATTGTGCAGTGATTCAGAAGACAGCTTCATCAAACAACCTAGATCTGGTCACATGAGGTCGGTCTTCAGTTGAACAGATTTCAGAAAGAGGTTGAAAGTTCTCCCAGTCTGAAGAATCATACTCCACCGCGGGTGAGGACCTCGGAGCCGTGGTGGAAGTGACTCTGGCCGCGGATGAAAGGTCGTAGCTGCGGTCAGCTTCCTCCGGCTCTCCATGCTTGCTTCTTCAATCTCTTCTTCTCCATTGTTGTTCTCTTGCTTCCAGTGGTTGTCCAAACAAGAAATCCTAAGACACCAATATTGATCATATCCTTTTTTCTTCCCTTTATGGATGGAGTCAGTCAGCGAAAGTCCTCAATCAATTGGCCGAATCCGTTTCACAGCATGGAGTATAGCTCAGAAGATTGGACGAAACCTAGAAATCGATCACTGATCCAATTTGAGTACTCCTAGAATTTTTATAAACTCTCCTTCCTTTAGACGATCATAGACCCCCCACACAAGACAAAGTTCACTAATAACATTTCCAACCTTGCGGACAGAAAGTGAGCCCTCTTAAGTAATGGGAAGCGAGCTAGTCCCATTTTCTATTTTTATTGGCATTAATATAGTGGGTAACGCAGCCTCATAGGCAGTCAAAGTTCTGTGGATCAATAAAGTAACCGAACTCAAATGAAAATTCATCTTCCAAAACCAGATAATCAACCAAAGGAGATTCCCCTGCAAAAAAGAGATGGCTCTACTTTCATACTAATCTTCGAAGATGGGTATCCAAATCATTGGTTCCAGTGTTCAGATCACACTCCTTTTGATCTTTAGAATGTTTTTCAACCTTCTCTTCTACATCATCTAAAGCATAAACAACTTTATCTAAAGAAGCATCAAGTTCTTCTGTCTTGTTTTCAACCTTAGCTACGCATTGCCACAGCTCCAATGTGTAGTCGTAGGTCTGGTTCTTGCTTTCATTCAGCTCCTTGTCCAAGTCATCGATCTTGAAAGTTAGGGTTTGCAGCTCCCTTTCATTTTGTTGAATGTTGAACTTGTTCTTATCTTGTTCTTCTTCGACAGACCCCATTCTCTAATTCAGCACTTCATTGTCTTTGGTTCTCTGATCCTCCAGTGTCTTCACGTGCTCAGAGAGGTCATCAAACTTTTTGTTAAGGTTGATGGTGATGGCATCTATCCTTGTTCGCAGGGCGGCTTTGATGAGGGCTTGGGAGACAAGGAACTGATTCAGCTTGGCTTCTAATCGATTGTTCTCATAGTTCTGATGCAGAATCTGATGAGGTAAGGGATGAGATGGTCGACAGTTCACCAGATGTGGCGAACATGGCTCATCTCGGTAGTGTGGAGTTCTCGAGTCTCCATGATGATTGTCCGGATTAGGGTTCCGAACATGATGATCGGAATCACGCCTGGATGGTGATTCACATGCGCAGGTTGCTTCACACAGGTTGCAAAACCTTTGCTCAGGATTAGGGTTTCTTCTCTGATGATCTATGCTTCAAGGATTCTGAAACTAGGGCAAACAGAAGAGAGAATAAGAAGAAAAAGAAAAATTTAGGGTGTTTATGAGTTTGGTTTACTTCCTATGTTATTTTGGCAGAAACTTGACGTATATATAGTCGTCTGCGGCTTCCACCTCCCAGGTTTAGACCTCCAGCGACTAAAATCCTCCCAGGCAACGGTGCCAAAAACTTGATGGGCTTGCGGGCCATGAGTTTGTTTTTAACAAACTCATTGGTCCTCAAAAAGTTTTAAATTTATAAAACCCTAGTGTCTACAAGTGCACTGATGTACGTTGTAGGACTTAGGGTGTCGATCCATATGGAGGATGTCTAATCTGCGAGAAAAAACAAACTGGGAAAGTAAGCAAAGTCATAAACTCATGAGATTTTTGGGTTTTTTTGGTTAAAAATCCTAAACTAAACCTAATCTAATATTCACAAGAAATAAGATGCATTGAAGAATGAATTGTTAAAAGAATATCTCAAGCATATCGACTCAAACTATAGACTCTAAACTCATAAGTGGCGATTTAGACTTTTCCAGTTTACTCTAATTGATGTTTGGTGGCATTTCCAATTAGCTTCCGGGTGATTTATCTTCATCTATTTCTGGGATCTGCATGGAACTAGAATAGACATGTGTATGATTAACCAACTTTCGCCATCTTAATCACTAATCACTCAGATCTGACAATTAATTCTTTCTCTCATTCCCGAAATAAGATCATGCATTCACAACAAAAAAAAATTGATTATTGTTACAATTTTTTATGTAACAATACATATATATTTCGTCACAAATTTTCTATTGTGACAAAAATGTTACAATTTATAAAACATCACAATAAAATCGTCACAAACTCATTTCCGTTATAAAATTGTTACAACAGTGTGTGATGAATAAGAATAGTAACAATTCATAACATTTTGTGACGACCTTTACCCAGTTACAAAAACGACACAATTCGTATCGAAAAATACTGTTACAATTACACAACTATATTGTTACAATTACAATTACACGACTTAAATTATTACTATATTTAAGTCATATAATCGTCATAAATTGCAACGAAAATAATGTCACAAATTCTGTCATGGTTGACTAAATTATAGTTAGAAAAGCGATACAATTCGTTACAGTTTGGCCACAAATTGTGACAAAAAAATAGTCACATTTTTATTACAAATTATTATCATATTTAATTTAATTCAACAAAATTTAAATCAACAAAATTAGCTTTTATAATTTGAATTAAAAGAATTTAACAAATACAGCAAAAAAATACAATTGTTCAAAAGAAAAATATATATCAAAAATTCAAAACATCATGTTGGTCTTCGAGAATCGTAGTCGTCCACGCTCAGCTCATTGTCTTGCATACCACATGATGCATTTGCTTCACATCCCACTCTGAGCATTCCCAAAAAAATTTAGTCCGCAAACTGTGTCTTCTCGACTTGTCCACATAAATGAGTACATTAAATTAATTGCTGATACAGAAATTTATAACCAAAATTTCATTAGCCTATATCTAAAATTCTAAAACCAGTATCAAAATAAAAGAAATTATAATTGCAAATGTCTCTAATGATAAGAGAATCTGAAACTTCACCTGATGAGTTGGTGTGTTTAGAACAACACTACTACTAATCAAAAGCATAGTTTAACTAAAACCTCATACTGTGAGTCGACAAAAGAATATTATTTACCATAGTAAATCTCATATAAGGTAATAATGAGAGTGGAATACCAAAGCCAATAGTCACTGAAAGTACCTCAACGATATTACTTAATCTTCTTCGGGTTCTCCTTCATTTTCTCCTTCACTGATTCTAAATCAAGGTTTGTCCTCTGCATTTCTTCGTAAAAAAATCAACATATTGAAGAAGAAAGACAAAAAAATTCATGTGACTTAATCCAATACGCAAAAGACCAGCAAATAATCATAGTAATAATCTATCCAAATTTAATATATTCAGAACATACAACAACATATCTGAATCCCTTAAAATTTAGATTCCGAACACAAAACCTATTGGAATGGAATCACTTCTAATTCAGATTATAGATCAAATTCACACTAAACCCAATCAAATTTTATGAGATTATCAACTAGGACTTAATGCATAATTCTGAAAAGAAGATAAGAACATAGTGTTTACATGAAAAAAAAAAAGATCTGATTAGTGCAAGCCATAAGCGAAGCTGCTAAGAGAACCAACATCCCAAGGCATATAGGAGCAGCGTACATGTGATTCCGATCAGTTACTGCATCAATTAATTTACAGAAAGGAAAATCCAAACCCTAGAGCTTACTGAGAGCCATGGAGAGCAGCAATGGTTAACATTTCTGCGATAGCTAGAGGCAAATTAGACAAAACCTTTCTTTGTAACGTCTTCCAAAAACCTAAACCCACGTTTTCTCTTAGTCTCCCTCAGCACCGGAAAATGCGGCCCCAAATTACCCAACCGCCACATCCGCCGTCAGTAGAACTAGATCTACAAAATCCACTATAAACAAACTGATCTATATCTATTGAATTCACGGAAAAGGAGAGAGAGAGCATAACGAAAGCAAAGGAGATTCAAGGAGAAGGAGAGCGAGGAATAAAACCCTAAGACTCATCATCGCTTGGTGAATGATCGATTCACGTTGGAGAAGGATATCAAATCTGAGATGGAAAGAGAGAAGATGGCGTCGGGACTAAGAGAGGAAGATTGATCGGAGGCGGTGAGACTGAGATCCTTGGCTGAGAGGAAGAGAATGTAAGAAAGAAGAAGAAGAGAAAGAAAAAAAAAAAGAAAGAGAAGAAGAAAAGGCTAAAAATTAAATTCTTATTTCGAGAGTAAATTTTAGAAGCGGGGATTGAATTTTTTTAACATAATTTGTAATTTGACAAAAAAAAAAAAAACATAATTTGTAAAAAAAGTGGCGCACTTGAAATGGATATATTGATTGGCCATACACTAGCCACTAATTAGACGTTCTTCGTGGCTATTGAAATAAATTGATAGCTAGCTGGTGGCTATATCATATTTTTCTTGTTATCTAATGAAAAAAATCTGAATACTAGATTTTACATTTTATTATGTCAATTATATCATTTTCTAGTTATTATGTATTTTTGAAATTTTTTTTTACAGAACTAAACTTATTCTATTGTTCATTTTTTAATTTACATATGTTTTAATCTTATCACAAAGTAGTAACAATTATGTCACAATCTATAACCAAACTCAAAAGTCATTAAAATAGTGACTAATTGTGACGACGTACTTACAAAATATTTGTAACTGTGTGTGACTTAAATTTAGTCACAAAATCGTATAATTTAGTTACTAAATTTGGTCGTAAATGTGTAACAATATTTACTTTTTTGTAGTGATTAGACATTGAATTTGTCTGCTCACATCTTCTCTATAGGTAGCTCTCGACTCCTATAGCCACTATGTTCTTCTGAAGCTAGGTATGGATGATCTTATACAGCACTCTCATGGCTCTGATCGATTTTACGCTCAGAGAATATGTCATGAATCTACTCTCATGCAATATGAACAACTTAGAAGAGATGAGATCCCAAATATGGTCTGGAAACTTAGAAATGCTAATCCATATGTATGCGTAACGAAAACTTCTTCAAACAACTTGACTCTCTAGGACATACATGATGCAAGGAGTGATAAAAGATATGAAAGAATGCAAAAGATGAAACAGAAAAGTTGATAAGATAAAAAAGAGAAAGAACAATGGATCTGGGGAAGAATCCCCATCTCCATCGCCTAACAATAGAAAAAAAAAATTTGGTGGCTCAAAATCTCATTACAGGAGCACACACCCGTTTAGGACTGCTAAGAAATGTATTTATAGGTCCTAGGGTCCTCTAGGTCTCATTTAGGGCTTCTCTGAAGAGTAATAAGGGAAGTGGGCTTTGATGTTGGGCCTTGTGGCTCGTCCTTAGGTCCACCGGGGGTGAAAGTATTCCAGGGCAGGTAAACTGCTACTTTCTCGCGGGTGAGAGTCTTACGGGACCGGTGAATTGGGTAAATTTGTTCTCGATGTATCTTTTGCTTGCACTGTTCGATATTCATGATGTAAAGTGCTATGGAAAGTTGGTTGTCTCCTCTTTATTGTCTCCAAATTTGATCTGGACCAGACGGTGATAAAGTCCTCATTTGAGGCTGAACTACTGAGAATCTCACTCTGAGCTAAAAAAGTGGATTTCTTCCATTTTGCCATCATTTTCCCTAAGTATCCTAAAAAGAACCTTGAAACTACAAATACATGGAAATCATAATAAAGGTTCCTAAAACTGATTAAAAGCTTTGAAAAAGCATTTGAAATCAATGGTGAAAATGGGTACAAAAACGGTGTTATCAGTTTCCCATTTGCTTCAGGTAGTCTGCCAGTCAGATATTTTAGTCTGCCCCTGCTCACGAAGGGTATGCCTACAGCTGACTACGCTCCGTTGATTGAGAAGACCAGAGCTAAGATTGGTACTCATAGGCTCAGTTTTAGCTAGTATTACCAATTTTTGGCTCTCTCATTTTCATCTGCCTCAGAGTTGTATCGAGGAGGTTGAGACTCTTTGTGTTGCTTTCTTATGGTCAGGCCCTGAATTAAATACGCAGAAGTCAAAAATGTCTTGGAATGATATATGTAGGTCGAAAGATGAAGGGGGATTGGGTATAACACCTCTCAGGGAATAGAATATTGTGTGTTTCTTAAAACTGATCTAAAGATTAGTCTCAAGAAAAAATCTCTTTGGCTGCAATGGGTTGATGCACACCTCATCCGATCTGGGTCTTTCTGGTCGATGTGAGGTAATCAATCAATCTATACTGGGTCATAGATGTGACGTAAGTTGCTAAGATTACCGGATGTAGCCAAAATATTCTACAATATGGAGGTTAATATTGAAAAAGAAACTCTATTTTTGGCATGATAATTGATCTCCATTAGGCCCGCTTATGGAATTAACGGATGCAAGAGGAATTATTGACTTGGGAATCTCAGTCAATGAGCTTGTTTCTTTGGTTCTGGATATTCACTGAGTTAGACGGTGTTGCAGTGAGGTTTTGAATCAAATTGAGGAGGGCATAAGGAAAACGAGGGAACAGAGGTCTAATGCTGAGGATAGATCGCTCTGGAGGCTGAATAATGGAAACTATAAGTCTAAATTCTCCTCGAAAGAGACTTGCTTTCAGATCAGAACTGATCAAACGAAGGTGAGTTGGCACAAGAGGCTGTGGTTCAGACATCATACTTTAAAGTTTGCTTTCACCGCATGGTTTGCAATACAAAACAGATTAATGACAGGAGACCGAATGAGAGTTTGGAACCCTGGTATCTCAGGAGTCTGCGTTTTATGCTCGGCTCAACTTGAATCAAGAAAAGATATCTTATTCCTGTGTTCTTACTCCAAGGAAATCTGACACTCGAGGTTGACTTCAGCGGAACTACACGTGACTGGGAAGAGATCCTCTCCATTATCTTGGCACTAACAGGTTTTTATATTGATTGCTTTCTCATCCGATATGTTTTCTAAGCCTCTATTTATTTTATTTAGAAGGAGAGAAATGGGCCTCAGCATGGGGAATCTCCTCAATATCAACGTCAGCTAGTTACATACATTGACATAACAGTGAGGAGCCAAATAAGTTCAGTTTGCACCAAGGATTTGAGCCTCGAGGATGCTCTTATAACTTGGTTCGAATCAGTATTGTAGATATCAAAGTAGAATTAGACTAGCTATCTTATAATTGTCAAAAAATTTGATGCACTTGATGTAAACAATGGCTTTGTCGGTTTGAATAAACTTTAACATTCATTTCAAAAAAAAGAAAGGACTTCAAATTTAAAGTGCAACATCATAGGAAAGTTAAAAGCTAAATATTAGTAGGAAATTCAAACTAATAAAGCTTAATTCTAGAAATAAGGAATCTCAGACAAATAACAGAAGGAAACATAAGTGGGTAGTCAAAATACTTGAAATAATTTGAGAGACTTACATTTCTTACCTTCAGGCAATTCGTGTGCTTAGAATGTCTTTGTTTCAAGTTTGAATGCTCCCTTTTAAGTGTCTTCATTCATTCTTGAGATGCTGAGCATATAGACTTGGGCTTAACTTGGTAGTAGATGCCAGAAGTCTTGATCCTTTGAATGTGGGCTGCTTGCTAGCTCCTAACAATCCCTAAGTAATCTGGTCCAAGTTTGTTGATGTTGAGCTACGTAAGATGTCACCTCTTGAATATGATATTCTCTTGGTTTCTCTTGGTCCGCTTGAGACACTGTTTGAATCATGCTCTAGTTGTACTTGTGTTGAAGTATTCTTGCCCTTGATATATCTGGTTATTGGTCCTTCATGGATGGTTGGAACTTCAGTGTCTTGTAGTTAAGGCTCGGTTAGTTCTGGTTCAGCTTGAATGTCCTCATCAGTAAGTCCCTGCATTTTTAAGGTTCTTTCCAAAACTTTGATTTATGTTTTGTTAGAGGACAAGCAAAGTCTAAGTCTAGAGGAGTTGTTAACACCAAATTTTAACCATATTGTGGATTGTTTTATGTTATTATGCAGGTGTTTTAGCTCCGTTCTCAATGGTTTTCAAGTGATTTATGTTTTAGAGTTTCAATAGACTTTAAAAGTAACTTGGAATAAAAGAGTACCTAAAATTACTATATATAGTCCTTGATACTATTGCTTATCTACCTGCATAATTGATGCGAGCAATAGCGGGGTTTGTTGTTTTCGTTTTTCTAAGTTTCACGTTTTAAATTTATAACCTCTAAATGTCTGCAAATGCACAGATGTGCGCTGTAGTACTTAGGGTATCGATCCACAGAGACTTATTGTTTCAGTACGAATTCACGGCAATGCTTAAATCAGACTAGAACTAAAGAGGGTTTTGGTTATGGTTTTGGTTTTGGGTTTTGGTTGTCACTAAATCTAAACTAGAAAGCAAAGCAAGCAAAGCAATTAAGAACGAAAGCAAGTAAACCAAGTAAAAAGCGATTAAAGAAAGGCAAATGGAAGCAAGTAATAAGCGAATGAAAAGCAAACTAAATCGAAGGTTGTAAGCAATTAAAGACAAACGTTGGGCATCAAGGGTAATTCGCAGGGGTTCATGGACTAAGCTATGTCGATTTTAAACAAGTGATAAAGGTAATCAACTACGTATGTTCTAGAACTCGAGGCACGGAAGTATGAATAGCTTACTTTCGCAGCACTAAACAACTATCTCTCGCAACCCTGATCAGTAGGTTTCCACTCTGATCCTTGAAGGGATAAGATGCAATAGCAGAACAAGACTCATCAACATTCACAACTCAACTACAGGTAGGTTTCCACTCCTATAGAAGAATTGCTCGTTTCACCCTAGTTCAGACAATCAATGAAAACTTTCGCAACATATCATATCAGATCGGCTTCTAAGTGGCCAGCAAAGAATCACGCAGTAAAATAAAAGGAAAACGAAGAACATCTAGAAGATTAATAATCCTAAATCTATCGATTCATAAGCAAAGACACACGAAAACCTTTGAAAAATCCCTTTAAACCCAACTGGGTAACTACTCGAACATATTGTAAACAATCATCACAGAGTATTGAAAGTTGCAGGAAAATAAAGAAATGAGGGAAGAAAAACGAAGAACGAAGAAGCAGACGGAGGCGTGATGACTTTCTCCAGCAGTGGCTCCTTCTTCTGATGAGGCGGCCTCCTCTCTAGGGTTCCACACGAAATCCCTCTCTCTCTCTAGGTTTGTCTATATTTCGGTCTCTATTGGTCTCCCTCCTTTAGAATTACCTAAAGAGGGTATTTATAGCTTCTGGAGTGGTCTTGGACACTTAGGGC